TGTTTTAAAATTATAGTTATCTGTACCATCTATTGTTATATATGATACTTTTGTATCAGTATTACTTTTCCTTCCATTCTTCTTTGAAAATAATAATAACTAGCTTGTAAAAATAAATAAAATGCAAAGCAAACCCAGAAGATATCATTTTAATTCTGAATATTCACTACAGATTTTGGGGATGGCCCTTAATAGAGTCCTTCAGCAGGCAGCTTGCTGAAGTCCTCAGAAAAAAACAGAATTTGAGAAACTTAGAGCTGCGGTTCGACCGTAGAGATGACAGAGCAATGGAACTGGTGTGTGAGGGGCTGCAACATCCAGACTGTAAAGTGGAGAAACTAAGGTGAGTGGGCAGTGTTTCTCTTTCAGTTCGATGTGTGTTGCTTTCTCTTGAGTGTTTCTGTTCTGGAAACATATCCAAGGAAAGACAGTTCCAGTTGCAATATATAACCATATTCTCTTCAGTTCCTTGCAGAGTACTAGGTTTTTAAAGATATAATTCTATCTGTGATTATAATCAAAAGGCCACGAAGATGGTTTGCTAGGAGGCGTGAAATGTGTGTCCCTCCTGACTGCAAAGACACTTTCTTAGCTGTTAATTGCTGAAAACCTGGCAGAAGGGCTAATTTTTCCCTGGGGTCTGTTCCTAGGGGTGAGCCCCAAAGATGATAACTCTTCATTCAGACATTTGCCGTTACGGCAGCAATTACCCTGATAAGAATATCTGGAGCTAGATTTCATAGATTTATAGGTCTATAACTTTTGCTTTTGCTTTGCATATATTTTACTCCCCTTCGTTTAACCTCTATGGAAACTTTTAAACTGGGATTTACAACAATCTTTTTGTTATTTGGGTGGATTATATCATCTTCCTATTGCTTCCTTGAGTTTCTCTTCAATTCTTTGCTAGCTTCCTTTCATACAGTAAAGATCCTTGAAACATTCTTCTCCTTACGATTTTGGGAATCTGCTTTGATATAAATATTGGTTTGCAAGTTATTTGCTAATCTACATTAAAATTTATAATTTCCATCTACTTTCAAGAGAACCTTGCCTTGCTATAAATATTACTTTCATTATTATTAACATTAAATACCTTGGACTTATCGTTCTTCATTAACATAATTCTATATGGTTTGTGGTGCTGAATGTGCCTAATAGACATTTTCAATTACATTTATTTCTTTCACTGTTTCTGATTGTGACATTTTGCATTGGACTGGTTTTGTTTGGCTTTTTTTCTTCTCCCCTTTCCACCTAAATAAAGACTTCTTTGAACCACAAAGGGGCATGCCAATGAAAGAAAAAAATGCAATCTTACATTTTTTTTCTTTCTCTTTAATCACAATATATATTTCTTGTTTTAAAAAAATTGAATTAATCAATGCTGTTTCTTTTCTTTCAATTAAGATAGCAATATGTGAATAACATGAATTTCTTATAACAAAGATACTCAATGCTTAATACTGAAGATATATTCATTCATTTATTTTTCATTCATTCATCATGTTAGAACTTTCTTTGTGTACATTTCTCATAATGAATTTGTTTATTATATTGTGTTATATACCAGATCTTAATGATCTATTATTAATCTTTTATTACCATTTGATGTGCTTTAATTTCATGAGTGCAAGTAGAAATACTAAACACAAGGTTACACATTATTTTTCAAAAATGAGTAAGAGAAAATAGGGTAAGGACCTTTCTAAGTTGGAAGAATCACAGCAAGATACCTCAGCTTCTTTTCCGGACTCCCAAGATTCCTTTACAGTATAGGAGGGTGTTGTGTATTTGAAGGTGATCTCTTTAGTTATTTCAAGAGTAAGCAGTAGAAAATGCAAGCAAATTTCAGTTCTCTTCAGGCAAATGTCAAAGACAGATATGACACATTTGTAATTCAAGTTGATTCTCAGAATAAAGAAATCAAAAAATTGAAGACTGAACACTCAGAATTGTTTAGTTCAAAAATTTCAGTAGATAGGACTAAACAAATTGGAACTCTAAGCAGAATTGGTGGAAACTGATTTGTGTAAAAAACATTTTAAATACAGAGGTATACCAGAAGGCTTTGGTAAAGTAGTCTTGGAAAGGAATATAGAAAACTGAAGACTCGTTTTGATTTCCATGTGGATGAATCTCTGGAAATGCAAGGAAATCATGGAGTAAATTCCTGGATAGCCAGAAGAAGAAAACTGCCACATGACATACTTGTTGAATTTACATATTTTAAGACTGAAGAGGCCATTTTAGAAGTAAAAAGAAATGAAACTCTTTTGAAAGTGGGGGGATTATAATGAAACTTTCACCAGAGACTAGCCCAATCTTCTGAGAAAGTGAAGGAATCTAAGATTCTTGACCACTGTTCTTCAAGATTAAAAGATAAAATACAAAAAGACTATTCCATTCCATCTAGAGCTCTTTTGGAAAGTGCTAATACTTTCATTCATACCATTCATGATGCAGGCAACATGCTCAACTCTTTATCTGTAATGCAAAAAGGTGTAAGAGATTGGAGCTTGGATCCACCAACTGGCATTTCTGGGCATAATGACTGAGAACAGGTAGAAGGTCACAAGTCTGACCAAGCAACTGGTATTCAGTAAAGTAACAATTGCCTCAATTTATGCTCCAAATGTCAATAAGACAACATTTTATGAAAGATTTTTTGAACTCCTGCTTGAAATTGTGGAGGGTAATATTTTAGTACTTGGGGATATGAATGAGGTTTTATCCCATTTTCTGGATAAGTCAACATTATCAAAAAGAAGTGTTAGTAATCTTCCTCAAAATGTTCCAGATCACATAAGATTGTTCTCTCTTTTGGATGCATGGAGATATAAGCATCCTGCAGAGAGAGAGTATACTTATCCTTCTTCAGTCCAAAAATCATATTCAAGAACAGATATGTATTGGATTTGGAATTAATTGTTGACTAACCTTTTTGATATGGAGGTGACAACTTGAAAATACATAGATCATAATCCAGCAATTGTAAGATTAAACAGAGAAATCCCTACACTGAAACTTACTGAACTGTTAGAAGAGGAAATATAAAGAAATGTCAAAAGGAACTAAATAGTTTCTTCAAGGCTGACTTAGCTTCTGAAACTTTGTTAACTATATTTCTATATCTATATTAAAAGATCTGAACCCATTGCAAACCTGTCATGAATTAAAATCAACCTTGGATCTAGAACAAAAGATAGGAACAAGCTTGTTTTACTGGAAGTAATTTAAAATTATACAAAGTTGAATTTTACCAGACAGAAATCTTTTTAAAAGGCAATAAGCCAAACAACTTATCAATTATCAAAGAAACAGAATAAAGTAATTATTACTTGTATTTCAGATGGAACCAAATATGTCTCTGCAATGAAAGAAATTCTCTAGCGATCTATGAATTACTTTTCTAAATTGTATAATAAAAAGGTATCTGGTCCAGCAAAAATTGAATAATAGTTAAATGGAATATTACTCATAAAATTTATTGATCAGTGAAAATAAGCTTTTAATTAACCTATGACAGAAGATAAAATTAAAGAGACAACTAGTTCACCATTCCCTCACCCGGAAGTCCCTGAGACTTGTGCCTGATTCAGGGACAAATGAAAAATCAGAGGTTGAGAGAGCTCAACTTGTCTCTCAAGAAACCAGATGAAAAACCATGGGAATGTGGCATGAGGGGCTCAAACATCCAGAATGTAAAATAGGGACACTACAGTAAGTGATATTTTTTTCCTTTCACTTTGATGTGCCAAACTGTGGAAGTCCCTGAGACTTGTGCCTGATTCAGGGACAAATGAAAAATCAGAGGTTGAGAGAGCTCAACTTGTCTCTCAAGAAACCAGATGAAAAACCATGGGAATGTGGCATGAGGGGCTCAAACATCCAGAATGTAAAATAGGGACACTACAGTAAGTGATATTTTTTTCCTTTCACTTTGATGTGCCAAACTGTCTCTTTGCTGTTGGTGTTCTGGAAATATATCCACGGAGAGGCAGATCAGCTGCCATATATAAACATATTCTCTTCAGTGCCTACAAGAATACAGTCCATGCTTGTTCTTTAAGAAATAATTGTAATTTTTCACACTCTTCCCTACAGGCTTCATGGAATATGTCTGACCAATTCCTACAGCAGGCATCTTGCAGAAGTACTCAGGAAAAATCAGAGATTGAGAGAGTTAATATTGTACCTCTACACATCATATGAGGAAGCTGTGGAAATGGTGCTTGAGGGGCTGCAACATCCAGAATGTAAGGCAGAGAAACTAAGGTGAGTGGGCAGTGTTTCTTTTTCCGTTTAAGGTGTGCTACTTTCTCTTGAGTGTTTCTGTTCCTGAAACCTATCCATGGAAAGAGAGTTCTACTTGCGATATCTAGCCATCTACTCTTCAGTTCCTACAAGAATACAGGTCCATGCTTGTTTTTCAATAAATAATTGTAATTTTTCACACTCTTCCCTATAGGCTTGATGGAGAATTCATCACTGCATCCTGCAGCAGGTATTTTGTAGAAGTACTGAGGAAAAATCAGAGATTGAGAGAGTTAAAATTGTCCTCTTCCACGACATTCAACACAGCAATGGAAATGATGTTTGAGGGGATGAAACATCCAGACTGTAAAGTAGAGAATCTATGGTGAGTGAGCAGTGTTTGTTTTTCAGTTTAATGTGTGTTACTTTCTCTTGAGTGTTTCTGCTTTGGAAACATATCCATGGAAAGACCGTTCCACTTGCTATATAAATCCATATTCTCTTCAGTTCCTACATGAATACAGACCATGCTTTTTTTTCAAGAAATAATTGGAATTTTTCACGCTCTTCCCTACAGGCTTGAGGGAGAATTCAATGCTGAATCCCGAAGCAGGCATTTTGCAGAAGTACCCAGGAAAAATCAGAGATTAAGAGAGTTAATATTGTACCTCAGCAAATCAGATGAGGACGCTGTGGAAATGCTGTTTGAGGGGCTGAAACATCCAGACTGTAAAGTAGAGAAACTTTTGTGAGTGAGCCATGTTTGTTTTTCAGTTAGATGTGTGTTACTTTCCCTTGAGTGTTTCTGTTCTGGAAACATATCCATGGAAAGACAGTTCCACTTGTGAGATAAAGCCATTTTCTCTTCAATTCCTACAAAAAATACAGTCCATGCTTGTTTTTCGAGAAGTAATTGTAATTTTTCACACTCTTCCCTACAGGCTTAATGGAGAATTCCTCACTGCATCCTGCAGCAGGCATTTTGCAGAAGTACTGAGGAAAAATCAGAGATTAAGAGAGTTAAAATTGTACCACTGCCAATCAGATGAGAAAGCTGTGGAAATGCTGTTTGAGGGGCTGAAACATCCAGACTGTACAGTAGAGAAACTATGGTGAGTGAGCAGTGTTTGTTTTTCAGTTTGATGTGTGTTACTTTCTCTTGAGTGTTTCTGTTCTGGAAACATATCCAGGGAAAGACAGTTCCACTTCTGATATAAAGCCATTTTTTCAGTTCCTACAAAAAACACAGTCCATGCTTGTTTTTCAAGAAATAATTGTAATTTTTTGCACTCTTTCCTACAGGCTTGATGGAACGTTCCTGACTGAATCCTGCAGTGGGCATTTTCCGGAAGTACTCAGGAAAAATCAGAGACTGAGAGAGTTAAAATTGTCTTTCTACAAATCAGATGAGAAAGCTGTGGAAATGCTGTTTGAGAGGCTGAAACATCTTGACTGCAAAGTAGAGAAACTATGGTGAGTGAGCAGTGTTTGTTTTTCAGTTTGATGTGTGTTACTTTCTCTTGAGTGTTTCTCTTCTGTAAACATATCCATGGAAAGACAGTTTGACTTGAGATATAGAGCCATATTCCCTTCAGTTCCTACAAAAAATACAGTCCATGCTTGTTTCTCAAGAAATAATTGGAATTTTTTGCAGTCTTTCCTACAGGCTTGATGGAACTATCAGAACCTTCAGTGCACAAAATATTAATGTATTAGATGCTTGTTTTGTTTGCTTTGTTTCTGCTATTCTCTAAGGGGGGAGGAATGAAAGTAGACAGAACCAGTACACTATCGGTCAGGGAGGTGGAGTGTTATCAAAGTTAAGAATGTGCAAGGTCAAACCTCTGTGAGAACCACAACTGGCTCCTGAAATGAGGGGGGAGTAATAGGGTAAATGTTGAGGGGGGAAAACCGCAGGCTTTAGTTTTAGCAATGCTTTGCTTAGAGTTGCATGTATGTTCCAATAAATGAAATCTCTTTTGAACCTAACTTGGGTTTCACGAGATCTGTTTTCATTGGGATTTGAACATGGCAAACCTGACAGGAACATTCCTGACCGAATCCTGCAGCAGGCATTTTGCAGAACTACTCAGGAAAAATCAGAGACTGAGAGAGTTAAAATTGTCTTTCTACAGCTCAGATGGCAAAAGTGTGGAAATGATGTTTGAGGGGCTGACACATCCTGAATGTAAAGTAGAGAAACTATGGTGAGTGAGCAGTGTTTGTTTTTCAGTTTGATGTGTGTTGATTTCTCTTGAGTGTTTCTGTTCTGGAAATAGACCCATGGAAAGACAGGTCCAGGTGCGATATATAGGCATATTCTCTTCAGTTCCTACAAGAATACAGTCCATGCTTGTTTTTCAATAAATAATTGTAATTTTTTGCACTCTTTCCTACAGGGTTGATGGAATATTCCTGACCGAATCCTGCAGGAGGCATTTTCTGGAAGTACTCAGGAAAAATCAGAGATTGAGAGAGTTAAAATTGTCTTTCTACAGCTCAGATGGCAATGGTGTTGAAATGATGTTTGAGGGGCTGAAACATCCCGACTGTAAAGTAGAGAAACTCTGGTGAGTGAGCAGTGCTTGTTTTGCAGTTAGATGTGTGTTACTTTCTCTTGCGTGTTTCTGTTCTGGAAACATATCCATGGAAAGACAGTTCCACTTGTGGTATAAAGCCATTTTCTCTTCAGTTCCTATAAGAATACAGTCCATGCTTGTTTTTCAAGAAATAATTCAAATTTTTTGCACTCTTTCCTACAGGGTTGATGGAACATTCCTGACCGAATTCTGCAGCGGGCACTTTCTGGAAGTACTCAGGAAAAATCAGAGACAGAGAGAGTTAAAATTGTCTTTCTACAGCTCAGATGGCAACGGTGTTGAAATGATGTTTGAAGGGCTGAAACATCCCGACTGTAAAGTAGAGAAACTATGGTGAGTGAGCAGTGCTTGTTTTGCAGTTAGATGTATGTTACTTTCTCTTGAGTGTTTCTGTTCTGGAAACATATCCATGGAAAGACAGTTCCACTTGTGAATAAAGCCATATAGTTTTCAGTTCCTACAAGAATGCAGTCCATACTTGTTTTTCAAGAAGTAATTGTCATTTTTTCCACTCTTCCCTACAGGCTTGATGGAGAATTCTTTGATGAATCCTGTGGCAGGGATTTTGCCGAAGTACTCAGCAAAAATCAGAGATTGAGAGAGTTAATATTGTACCTCAACAAATCAGATGAGAAAGCTGTGGAAATGCTGTTTGAGGGGCTGAAACATCTTGACTGCAAAGTAGAGAAACTGTGGTGAGTGAGCCGTGTTTGTTTTTCAGTTCGATGTGTGTTACTTTTTCTTGAGTGTTTCTGTTCTGGAAACATATCCATGGAAAGACAATTACACTTGTAATATAAAGCCATTTTCTCTTCAATTCCTACAAAAAATACAGTCCATGCTTATTTTTCAAGAAATAATTGTAATTTGTTGCACTGTTTCCTGCAGGCTCGATGGAACATTCCTGACCGAATCCTGCAGCGGGCATTTTGCAGAAGTACTCAGCAAAAATCAGAGATTGAGAGAGTTAAAATTGCCCCTCTTAAACACTGATGACAGAGCAATGGAAATGCTGTGTGTAGGGCTGAAGCATCCAGACTGTAAAGTAGAAAAACTATGGTGAGTGAGCAGTGCTTGTTTTTCAGTTAGATGTGTGTTACTTTCTCTTGAGTGTTTCTGTTCTGGAAACATATCCATGGAAAGGCAGTTCCAGTTGGAATATATGTCCATGTTCTTTTTAGTTCCTACAAGAAAACAGTCCATGCTTGTTTTTCAAGAAATAATGGTAATTTTTTTGCACTCTTCGCTACAGGCTTAATGGAGACATCCATGCTGAATCCTGCAGCAGGCATTTTGCAGAAGTACTCAGCAAGAATCAGGGATTCAGAGAGTTAAAACTGTCCCTCCACAAAACCGATGACAGAGCAGTGGAAATGCTGTGTGAGGGACTGAAACATCCAGACTGTAAAGTAGAGAAACTATGGTGAGTGAGCAGTGTTTGTTTTTCAGTTAGGTGTGTGGTACTTTCTCTTGAGTGTTTCTGTTCTGGAAACATATCCATGGAAAGACAGTTCCACTTCCTATATAAAGCCATATTCTCTTCAGTTCCTACAAGAATACAGTCCATGCTTGTTTTCTAAGAAATAATTGTAATTTTTTGCACACCTTCCTACAGCCTTGATAGAACCTTCCTGACTGAATCCTGTGGCAGGCATTTTGCAGAAGTACTGAGGAAAAATCAGAGATTGAGAGAGTTAAAATTGTCCCTCTGCAACACCGATGATGGAACAATGGAAATGCTGTGTGGGGGGCTGAAACATCCAGACTGTAAAGTAGAGAAACTATGGTGAGTGAGCAGTGTTTGTTTTTCAGTTAGGTGTGTGTTACTTTCTCTTGCGTGTTTGTAACCACGGTTCTATCAAGGCTGTAGGAAGGTGTGCAAAAAATTACAATTATTTCTTGAAAAACAAGCATGGACTGTATTCTTATAGGAACTGAAGAGGAAATAATTGTAATTTTTTGCACACCTTCCTACAGCCTTGATAGAACCACTTGTGGTATAAAGCCATTTTCTCTTCAATTCCTACAAAAAATACAGTCCATGCTTATTTTTCAAGAAATAATTGTAATTTTTCACGCTCTTCCCTACAGGCTTGATGGAATATTCCTGACCGAATCCTGCAGCAGACATTTTGCAGAAGTACTCAGCAAAAATCAGAGATTGAGAGAGTTATTAATGCACCTCGACAGATCGGATGAGAAAGCTGTGGAAATGCTGTGTGAAGGGCTGAAACATCCAGACTGTAAAGTAGAGAAACTATGGTGAGTGAACAGTGTTTGTTTTTCAGTTAGATGTGTGTTACTTTCTCTTGCGTGTTTGTAACCACAGAAGAACAGTTTCAGTTTCAACATGTGATCATATTCCCTATGGGTCCTCCAAGAATAGAGAGTTCATGTTTCTTCTTAATGATGTTATTCTCATTCTTCTTACTCTTCCGTGCATTATCCACAAATAATGATATTCATTCCAGGTCCTTCAGCACTACTGTTCATAGTTGGTTTTTAACATCTATTTGTAATTTTTCTGACTACTTTCTGTAGGATTGGTGGAGCGTTCTTGAAGGAATCCTGTGGGAGACACATTGCAAGAGTTCTCAGAATAAACCAGACACTGTGTGAATTATATTTATATGATGAGTCCATTAGTGACATTGAGGAGAAGCTGCTGTGTGAAGAACTAAAACATTCAGGACATAAATTAAAGAACCTATGGTAAAACATCAGTTTATTATTTTCTCTTTAATTTGTGTATTTAACTGATTCCTTAGGTTTTGTTTGTTTATTATACAGGAATTTTAATTTAAATCAAATAAAGTTAAATATTTCCCTTCTGGTCTTTTGTACCTATATTTTTCTTGTTAATGAGAATTGACTCCCTCATTCCATGTAAGTTTTTTATCTGCTTCTTGAACAGAAGCTTGTTATGAACTCTTTTCTTGTTTTTATTGAGAAAGAGGCATTGAGATCTTTAAAGTTTTCTTGGAAGTAGAAATAGAACATATAAGACTTAAACTGCTGTGACAATAATTAAAACCTTCAGATCCAGCAGCAAAAATGTCACCTTAAATGTATCCTTCCTGTCCTTGTCATTGCAAAGTGAACTTCAATGATACGTGATGGCCTGACTGCCATGTCTGGGTTTTACTGATTTTTGGTTTTTACTGTTGTTGTGAACCATCCAGAGTTGTGCTGCATAAGATGGGTGCCCATATAAGTCTTATAAACAAATGAACAAACAAACACTGAGAAATGAGCCTGGTAGTTGTTGCTGTTCATAAAACCTGATGGTGGGTGAATTCAAGGGCAGAGACTGATGAATTGCCATGGCTTCATTTCTGCTCCCACCTAGCATGACTTCCTGGTAAGAAAAACAGCCACCAATCACTCCTCTGAATGCACTGAGAATGATTGGCAACTCTGGGCAGTTGCTTCAGATGAAGGATTTTGTCATCTTTCCAGTTACCTAAGTCAGCTCTCCACCTCACCTGTCACTCAGGCATTTTCTGCTTTGTTCCAATATAATTCAACCTGAGAAGTGGTGCAAGGGAATGGCAGGACTAGCAGGAATTGGCCACAGCCAGCAAAGTTGGGAACTTCTCAGGAAATACACAAAATGATATTGGAGTAAACAAAATCCTGCATCCCCCAAAGTAATAAAAACAGTAGATAGCACAGACATAGAAAATCCATTGTTGGCAAAACTGAAAATCTGTAATGCGCTCATTTGGGAGAGAACAAGCAACACACTTTTACAGAACCTGGTTGTTGTGAAATTAATCTTCTGACCACCATTCTTTCAAACAATTGCTAAACAAGTGTTTAAGAAATACTGTAGGCTAAGTGCTCTTCCAGAAGATCAGCACAACTCTGTACCTGAGAAGCTCACATCATGCCTAACCAATGCTTTGCAGAGCACCAGCCAGGCAATGCACAAGGAAAGGCCTCTGCAGAAACTAGAAAGGTCTTCTTTGTCCTGTAGCCCAAGCCGGAAGCCCCCAGAGGGGAGGGTGGTACCCCAGGCAACCTCAAGTGGCCAGTGAGTCCTGGGCAGCAGCATCACCAAGTTCATCTGTGAAATATTGCAGATCATGTATTGTCGAAGGCTTTCACGGCCGGCATACGATGGCTGGTGTGGGTCTTCCGGGCT